TAATAGGCGCGTGGTCTCCGGTGTCTATACTGAATCGTAGCAGGTCCGCCCTTCCGGGTTTCTTTGAAGTTTCGACGAATAAGTCTCTCAGGTCCTTCAACATCTTCGCGAAGAGACCCCTCTGTTCTGCTCCGAGTGACGAGTCTTCGAAGTCCACTTCGAAGTCGTCTTCCTCGCTGTCGTCCATGGCGGCACTCATCTCAGCCTCGATCGTTCCAGCTTCAGCCGTCACGTTCCCCTTCACCGTACTCAGCACTGCGCTTACGTTCCTCGTCGTTTCATCTGACTTAGAGACTCTAGTTGCGAACGCCGACTTGGGAACGATGGTTACAGCAGCGACGTACGCGCCAGACTTGATCTCTACCTCTTCCGCGGAAGCATTACACACTTCGACCAACACCGTTCCATCCGTCACGGTACACAACGTCCTCGCGACTCTCAAAGCCTCGTCCGTTCCGGGAACGCCCTCGACCAACACAACTAAGTGGTCCTTCATCGTTCCGCGAACGCTCGATCTCACTAAGGCCTGACGTCCGGGTTCTAAACGCACCGTCGACGATATCGTAGCCGCGTGAACGTGAAGGGCTTTGCAAAGCCATGGAGAGTCTTGATTGACTCGGGAGCCTCGGGCAACTACGCCCGTCGCTCCAGGGGGTCAGCTGTATGCTGAGGCACTGGAAGTGCCAACGAGAGATACGATCTCTGTCCGTCTCGCGACGGGGACACTGGTAACTGTGTCGAAGGTCTCTGTCGACCTTGGAGTGAAGTTTGAGAACTTCGACAGCGTGGAACGCTGTTTGGTCTTAGACCTGGATGCGAGGTATGACCTCATCCTTGGCATGGCATGGCTGGAACGCCATGAGCCATGGATCGACTGGAAGTCGAAAACGCTGGGTGCGTCGCACCCTGCTCCTAGTGGAGCTTTGGTGAGTCATGAACCCACCTCTGCTAGGAAGCAGAAGCGCTTTTGGCGCGAGCACGAGGCCGATGCGGCCGTAGTGCTGGACATTGGTATGTCCGAAATTGTTAGCAACGAGATTGCTGTTTGCCCTGAGGGCGTACGTGGTGCGGCACGTTATCCGCTGAGCGATGCAGGTCAGGTCAATGACCAACTGCTGGGTCCTGGTGAGGACGAGCGCGGAGTGGCGCGTAATCCACTGAGTGGTATGAATCTGGTCGATGACCTACCGCTGCGTGACCCGAGGGTCGCGGTCGACTGCGAGTCGAGGCATCATGGGCGTGGCCCAGGAGATGCAGATGAAGTGACACCTAGCTCACTGTGTGAAGGTCAAGAACCTCTTGGCTTTCAGCCAAGTGTCTTGCGAGACACTGTATCCTCTTCGAGGAGTGATGGTGCTGCTGCACCCGGTGGTGGTGACGGAGATGTCGCCACACCGCCCTCATCCGGCCGGGATCGGTCGCGGAGGGAGAGGAGAAGAAGACGCAGGACGTCTGTGACGTCTTCGACGTCAGACGAGGTGTCCAACGTGACGAGCGGTGGTGCTCCACGTGATTGCTGTGAACAGCTGTATACACTCGTGAACGGAGTGACGGGGGAGGTAGAAGGCGATATCAGCCTTGATACTCTGCCCGCTGCTGATGCTCTGCTAGAGCTGGACGAGATGTCCATTGCCGAGTTCGGCAAAAGCCTTAAAGGCAGGCGAGCTAGCCGAGGTGGTCTTGCTGGGACCTGAGGAGGAGTTGAACTCCTCATCCGTCGTGGACGACGCGGTCCTAGAGGACACCAAGAAGGCGCTGAGCGCAAGAAGTGGACCGGCGATCCTCAAAGATCCTTCCCCAGTCCGTGCATCCATCAGCATTTTCAGATTAGCTGCGCAATGTCTTCACACGCTTG